GGTTCTGAGCTTGATTCTTTCATCTTAACAACACTTTTCCTGTCACTTAAGAAATTTATTATCCATTCTAGAAATATCCCTCTAAAACCAACGTTATATAATTTATTGCGAATAAATGTTATGTCTAAGCAGTCAAAAGCACGTGATAGATCAAAAAATAGTCCTGCCACGTGGTTTCTACTATCTAATTCATCATAAATACGCTCAAACAAGCTGCATGCAGCCGTGAGTGTTGACTTTTTTTTATCTAAAGCCGTGTTGGGTTGGAGTTAATAAATTGTATTCTTCTATAAAATTTAACATTCTGTTGTATACAACCTTCTCTATTACTTTTGAAATTATGCTAAGGACAGATACTGGTCTATAATTTGAAATATCATGAGGGTCATTGTTTTTGAAGATTGGAATAACTTTTGCCATTTTAAATATGGATGGAAATTGGCTGGTTGTTATTGAGAGATTAACTAAATGGGTTAAAGGAGTCGATATATGATCACTTATCAGTTTTATTATTTTTACAGATATGTTATCAATACCAGTACTAGGCTTATTTTTTAGTTGATCGATTGTATTTTTTATTTCAATTGGAGTTACGGGTAAAAAGAAAAATGTTTTGTTACACATTTTTGAGGTAGTACAAGAAGAAGGTAACGATGTGAAAAAATGAGTTTGTAAAAAAGATTGTATTCTGTAATTGTAGAAAAATAATGATCAATCATTTACATTTAAATATATTTACCAATTTAAAGATAATGACCAATCATTTACACAATGAAGCAAGTTTGTGATCGTTGAACGACCTTTGATAAATCCATGCTGTTGGTGAGGGATGACATTTTCTTGAAGAAGGAACTCGGACATAGCTTCCGAAATAATCGATTCCATGACCTTGCCGACAATAGGAACCAGGCTGATTGGACGATAAATTATTGTAACAAGTTTATTTCCGTTCTTGAATATAGGAGTAACCGAAGCCAATTTCCAGGACGAGGGGAGGGAACCTTGATTAAAAGAGGCATTCATTATGAGAGATATAGGGATGACTACAGATTGTGCACATTGTTTGAGGAAAAAAGAGGTGAGTCCGTCTAATCCAGGTGATGAATTATTTCGCAGTTTCGTTAAATGATGTTTAATTTCATCCGGTGTGAAAGATATATTGTCAAGATTTTTAGACAACAAACGTGGGCACAATATTTGAGGAATGGTATCGTTAGGTTTATTTGTAAAAACCTGAGAAAAGAATAACGATAAACATTCCGAAGATTCGTTATTCGAAGAACATAAAGACCCATCAGCTTTTTGAAGTAACGGTATGGAGACTTTAGAAGATAGAGATGTGCGAATGTACCGATAAACTTTTTTACTATTACCACTTACAATTCCCACATTGACGATGGATCAGAGTGATTAAGTAAAATAGATTGCAAGTTTAACTGGAATAAAACTGAATTTACATTAAAGAAATCAGTAGTGGCATTGTAATAATCCATTGGGACAGATTTACGAGAAGTGGAGAGGGATTAAGGGGATTAAGGACTTCTATGTATAGGGTCCCGTAAAGACGGAGTTATGCGGCTAACACTGGCTGTTACCAGTGTAAAATAATACGAATGATGGGAGTTATGTGAAGTTATGGAAAACGCTGTCACCAAATGAAATACACAATAGATCCTCATGGGATGCTAACCCTGCGAGCGGCTGCAAGGAATACTGGTCACACTGGTCTGGAGGGCTGGCTCGTCTTCGTGGATTTATGAGAAGATAAGGGATTTCGGGATAGGGGTAAGGACTCCTAGGTCTCAGGTCCTGTAAAGAGCAGAGGTTATGGGCTTACTTTTGAAGCCGGAGATATGCATACGCAGAAATCTCGTGTTCTCCTAGTCTCTAGAGAGTCGGACGAAAGGAACATAAAAAAACTAATTTAGAGTCAACAATATATTGAATCTACCCTGAAGTTACAACTACAATCGTTAACACTTTATTCTGCGCGTCGGGAGATGATGAAGCAAGATAGTGAAGAGTTGACAGTTGTACTAATATAATTACACAGGTTAGTATAAAGAAATCTGTTACCTTATGTGTGTATTAGGGCTTTCAACCACGACACGTTCAGTCTTCTGGAACTCGGTCAGCTGAGGGTTGCGAACTTTCGAGCTGCCACAATAACCGGACTACACGCGATACTATGCCAGATGATACGCGTCCCCCGGAGAATCACCGACTGTGTCGCGTACTGGACGCTCCCGGAGGCAATTACTGCCTCGGCAGGCACAGCTGCCCGCTACTACGGACCGCTTCCGTCGTATATCCAATACTGACTGACTGACTACTGACTTGGCTGTCCCCGTTTTCCAGTTTTTATCGAGCTCATGTTTTCAATACCGGTTATAGTGCCAAGGTCGTGTTTTCGTTGAATTGTGGGTCCTATATTGCATTACAATAACAGTTTTTTGTTTGACGTGCTTTTCTATGTTTAAACAATTAACAAACAATGCAATAACTAGGTCAATTTCTTTGTATGATTTAAAATGCAAATTTTACTGTAATAATTATCCCTTATTTGATTTGGAATATATAATAATTATCTCGAATAATTATTATCTTTTATATGCTACTTAGCCCTTTAATTCAACTTCTCACTCACTTGCTACGCTCACATTACAGCATACGTTACGAAATTATTTTTGCAAGGCGGTGTTAAACTAAATTGAATGTGAGCAGTAATAAGCGAGTGGTCAGAAAGACCCATAGGACAGGACACTTCAAGTGTAGAAATTAAATCATCGTCATTTGTGAAACATAAGTCTAAAATTGAAGGATTATTGTTTTTTTTTATTTAGAAAATCGCATCGACCAAATGGCCATTAGCGAAAAATTAATGGTTTACATTAGGTACATTACAATTTGGTTTATTATTAAATATTGTGGTACTTATTAATATCTTTAAAGAAATTCAGAGTATTTTTAAAGTTACAGTCTAAAGTTAAACTAAATTGAATGTGAGCAGTAATAAGCGAGTGGTCAGAAAGACCCATAGGACAGGACACTTCAAGTGTAGAAATTAAATCATCGTCATTTGTGAAACATAAGTCTAAAATTGAAGGATTATTGTTTTTTTTTTATTTAGAAAATCGCATCGACCAAATGGCCATTAGCGAAAAATTAATGGTTTACATTAGGTACATTACAATTTGGTTTCTTATTAAATATTGTGGTACTTATTAATATCTTTAAAGAAATTCAGAGTATTTTTAAAGTTACAGTCTGCACCTAGAGCTTCTAGAATTGTTCCTGGTATCTTGTTGTTACTTCGTTGTTGATTGTAGAGAGGACATTCACATAGTATGTTCATTGTTGTTAGTGTCGTATTACACGATTCACATCGCGGCAAAGGTGTTGGTAATTTCATTTGCTAAATAGATGCATACTCCTCTTCCTCGACGAGTACCTCTATCTCTACGAAATATATTAAAATTATCAATGTTTACAATAGCATCGGGAATAGAAGAATTAAGCCACGTTTCTGTTAGGAGAATAATGTGAGGTTTTAAAAGTTGAATAGTACTTGTAAATTAATTAAATTTGGACATAAGAGAGTTTTGATTCGTATACATAAGAAGCCAATCCGTAAATTTTAGTACAGAAGAATTATGAACGAAATTTCATTATCTTTGGACAGCCATTTACATATTTAATCGTAAGGTCATTTTCTCCATTGTTTTTATGAGTTTCAAGCTCAGTACGAAGTTCCTTTAAACGAAGTTGCTGCATAGGTGTCTTGTAATCAATAACAGAATAAGTTTCAGTAGATTTGTTTTCCAAAAGTTTATTATTGTTACGAAGAATTTTTCGACTGTGGTGTTCAGAACTCATTATCACTTTTATCATGCGGTGATAACGTTTATTTTGATTTGGTTTACCGACTCTATAAAATGTAACAGAACTTTCTTGACATCCAATGACTTCTAGGGCTAAATGTATTTTATTCTTATCATGATCTTTTTTATTTTGTGCGTCTCCTATAGGTTCAGGGACGCCTCTAACTAAAAAATTTTTGGAACGAGATATGCGGTCAGCAACTTCATTGACAATGCAGTCGGTAAATTCTGTTGTTATAATAGAATCAAGTTGATTTAATTTATTGCTAAATTTAGATAGTTTAATATCAAAGTCTTTAATTTTCTTCTTAATATCCGCTTTAAACTCGACAAGTAGACTCTTGATTTCAGTAATATTCGTAATGTTTGAACTGCATGCATTGCAAAGTATATATATATATATATATATATATATATATATATATATATATATATATATATATATATATATATATATATATATATATATATATCCCACGTACTTTTTGCCTCGTAACTCGATCATCGACCGACAGATCCGTACAAGCAATGTGTATTGGTTTCTTTCAGTCATCACACTGGAGCTTATTATCGGAGGTAGAAGTTAGCTTTGAACAATTAGCGCAAAACGATGTATTAGGCATGATTAACTTTGTGCTAGTTTTAGATATGAATTATCATTATTGGATTGATAAATAAACAGCAAATTTGTCGTTATCACTTATAACTTGAATGTTCAAAAGCACAATCACAATAAATTATTTCTTTGTTTTTTTAAAAACACATTTAAAATCAATTAAAATTTAATTTAGCATAACACTTCTGTCAGTCTTTTCCCCGTGTTTCTATTTCTTCCAAAAATATTCGGGTTCACACATTTAGGTATCATGATCCGTTAAGGTTTTTATGACTTCTCTCTTTTGTTTAGGATGGTTTTTCGAATTCTTATTTAAATAACGGTTCCTGTGCGTTTTTGTTTCGGTATGCTCTGTGCCCGTTTTGATTAGTCTTCTTCTACCAAACGCCAAGAAGAAAATATTATAGACATTTGCCTCTAAACCCCAAATATAATGTACCATTACGTAGTTTTATATAGTTGGAGCAAATATAACACTAAAAATAAAAGAAAACTTTACTCACCTGTAACATACTGTACATTGCACTGGATAATCTTTTAAACATCTTGGTCCTAATATTATTGGATAATCTATAAAAATTACTTCACCAGCTTGTATATCTCTTTTGGAAAATATTCCAAAGCCCCCTAATGGAGATTTCTTTATTATCCAAGCCGGTTCTACTGTAGAACAGGACTTTTTCTTTAGATAATCAGAAAGGACGTCGTTAAGTTTCTCCTCATTTTTAATACAATCCATGTACTTTAAATTAGTTTTATATACCCTCAAAAATTTAAATAAAATATCGAGAATATTTTTCTTTTTACTCCTACAGCCCTTCGAACACTCTTTTATTCCATAGTATTCAATTTTTAAACAAGTTTTAAAAACTTTCTACGTACTTTAAATTGTTTTCGCACACAAATTTCAGTAGCACTTTTCACTTTGTTTAAGCGGCCACAAAGTTATGTGTTAATTATTCGGGCTTCCTAATCACTCCCTCAAATGTTACATCTATTTTTAAGCCGCTGTTTGTTTCGATTAGCACAGTGTAATTAACCGGAAAGGTGCCAATGGACGCCTATCGGAATGTCGACTTGAGATTATTCTCTTGCACTACTGAAACCTAAACGCTACATAAAGTTTCTATTAAGAAATAAAAAAAGTTGAATAGTTACTTATCTATTAATAAGCGGTAAATAATTAAACGGTACTTTTAACTTAAATGCTTACCGTCTTTCTCTGTTACTTTTGATTTTGTTATATCCAAGTGAGTCAGGTTGACAATAATAATTCTATCTGGAAGGACTCTAGAAATCCTCTTTAAAATCGCAATATTGTTTGTCTGGCTATCGTTGTATCCAGGCAAAGTTTTTTTGAGAATTCTAGAGTAGAGGATTATGTGATTTTCTAACGTTCATTTCAACGGTATATAGTCTTATCATAAAATTCTGATAAAACGATGAAGGTACTAATATGAGAAGAGAGACTTTTTTCTTCGACTGTATTCTCCTATCAAAGATCTTAACACTTTTTTGAGAATGTTTCTAAACAAAACATTTGAACCTATACCTTGGATTTGAGTTCCTACAGATGAGTTTTAATCTTAGATATTCTTTAGTCATGGGAATTAGCTAAATAATAAGATCAGTACATGACGGGTTTAGCTTTTTTATGATTTAAATGAGCTGATGTTGTCTGCTCATTCGGCACAGAACTTCCAAATTTGTGGTTTAGCATACCAGTAAGTTATTTAAAACACTCGTCGATATCCTCACATTTCAAATGCTTCCAATTTATTGTTACATATATCCAGCAAATGGAAATAGAATACCGCGCACGAACGACAGAATTCTACAGAAAGACTAGTACATGAAAAAGAAGACACTGGAGAGAATTATGTAACTAGCTGGATAAGTACACCTTTGATTAGAAATACAGGATCCAAATGAAGAAGATCCATGCATATGAAATGCCACTGGACAAAAAACTTGAGATAACACGAGAGCTTTTTCCGTCCGACAGATGGCATGGATAGCATAGCGTGTGGAGGGACGAGGGAGCTGAGTAGGATGTACCCTTTACCATACACGAACTAGTCAAAGCATTGGATGCACTGAAGACACATAGGTCCCCTAAATTAGACCAGATAACGTCCAACCCGGTAAAAGTTCTAGGACGCGCAGATCCTGCGTAACTTTTAGAGCACATAAATGCATTGTTTGAACCACAGATTTTCTGAGCCTTGGAGAATATCAAGGTTGGTGCAGCTCACCAGAACTGCGGAGAAGTATCGCTCCATATGCCTCCTCCCGTGCATCGGGAAGTTGTACTAGAGGATGCTGTAAGGACAGATCGACGACACGATTGAGAGATCAGAAGGCTTATGCCCGAGACTGTTCGGATTTTGCAAGGGAAAGAGCACGATTGACGCAATTTTGAGTATACTCGAGCCATTGCACAACATTGGAGACAAACAGCACTGGGCATTCTGTTGCTTTTCGATGTTAGTAATACATTTAACACGTTGTAGTGAAAAGAGGTGATGCAGGCTTTGGAGGGGCAGAAGTGCCCTGGCTATCTAACGAATATAGTGATGGAATATCTATCCGAAAGAAAGATCATGGTTGAGAAGGGCATGCTTGTTAATGCAACGGCGGGAGTCCCACAGGGATCTGTCTTGAGCCCGACGCTATGGAACCTAGAATATTATAATAATGTTGGATAATCATATAATGTTTATTAGATTGCTTCCATCAGGAATTCCATATGGTGGAACTCTAGGGGTAGTTTAACCCCTGTATGGAATTGATTAACTCGAACTCATCGAATACTCATAATTACTTTATGGGTTCTTTAAGTACAATAATAGAGAGAGTACCCAATTGACGGATGACAACACTAGTTTTTACTGTTAACTCTTAATTCTAAAGATCTACTCCCTATATTTTCCGGGTATTTAAATCACGTGCATTTATTTATGCGTTCATATTTTACTAATATAATTTGTACAGAATATTAAATAAGTTTTTGATTACATTGCTAATTTCACTATGTATATATAATAAACAATGATTATTATTATTAAAACAATTTTAAATTTTTAAACTGAATTGGGTTACTTAGTTCTGATTTCTGGATGCTTAATTATTACCCGTTACAATATGACTAAGTTTTGAACTGCGAATATGGAGAGGTTATAACCCCCGTCGTCCGTGCGGATTATCTCGCTGTAGTGGTAGTAGCGCGGGACGATCCGGATCTCCAATTTCGGGAAAGACATACCGTGCAACGTTGTAATGGGCTGGATGGTAGATCACGGACTAAAACTCGCGGCAGATAAGACCGAAGCATTATTCTGTAGGGTAAACAAAAAAGACAAGGGACTAAACTCTAATATGCAGGGGCATGGCTGATATAAAAGAAATGCGTTAAATTGTTGAGAGTGACGATGTCCAACATTAGGCATTTGTGTACCCAAATCCGAAAGGAGGAAGGTATACATGGTGTTGTGTAGTCAGTCGTTCTTTACGCGGACCAATTTAAGTGGCGCGGTAAAGATACCGACTTACAAGGGTTTCATGATACGAGTGAACAGAACGAGTCAGCTGCAGTAACATGCGCCTACATTCACTAAGATGCTAATCACTAGCCCAAGGGACTTGTAGCTGACGCAAGTGCTAACAGAACGCAGGCCTTATAGGGCCTATCTTCATAGATTTGAAAAGGCAGATACAGACAAATGCCTATAGAGTTAATACTTCGATACTGTTACTAACACAGTGTTGAAGTGTAATAGATGAACAGTGGAGATAAGAATAATGCATAGAGAAGCATAGGTTTTAACCCTGTGACTGTGAGAGAGATGATCGCGGAGATGACGGAAAGTAAGGAGGCATAAAATATGTGTACAATTACATCTGCGCAGTCATTAAGAAGAAAGAAGAAAAAGAGAGCAGCAGCCGCACCAACGACAGAGATAAGATGGTTAACCTTATAAGATGGGTTAACCTGGTTTTCAGAAAATTTCCACCCTTAGAAGAAAAAAAGTCTATTGTTACATAAAGTTGTATCTATGACTAATTTTGGAATAAGTTTTGCATCGCATTTTTAAAGAATAGTAGGAACTTCAGTTCTCCAAAGCTAAACATATTTTGTTCAAATTTGAAAACAATTCTCCCTTATGGAGCAGTAACTTGGAGAGCAGACAAAATACTCGTGAAGAAACTACCGACATTATTTAACAAAGGTTTAAATTAAGAAAGAAACATTATAATAAAAGCCTGAGAATTATATTTAACGTTTTTTGACCAAACAAGATAAATAACATAGACCTGTGGTTGGTTCCAAGGGAAGAATCTATTAAAAAACCATCATGGGAAAAAATTAACAAGTATAATGATGCTTGATATATCAACAGATGAAATAAACAACGCGCAGAAGAAAATGAAAAGTTGTATCTGTTACTAATTGTGGAATAAGTATCGCATTTTAAAGAATATTAGGAACTTTAGTTCTCCAAAGCTAAAAATATTTTGTTCAAATTTGAAAACAATTCTCACTACATAGTAACTGGTGAACTTATTCGACAATAAAGTGAAACACCTACAAAATGGCGAAGTGCACTTACTATTTTATTACACAAAAAGGCGACCTCGAGAATTACCGACCCATAAGCCTCTTAAACCACTTCTACATTTATAAGAATAATAACAAAAAAACTGGAAACAAAATTAGATTTTTTTCAACCTAGGAAACAGGTAGGTTTTAGGAAAAACTTTGGCACTAACGGCTACGTCCACTGCATAAAAGGAATTATAAAAAAATCAATTGAATGCAACGGTATATTGGTCTTGGCTTTCGTAGACTTTCGCAAATAATTGTGTATCAAATGTATAAAAACTAAAAGAAAAATCAGAAAAGGAGACAAAATATCTCTCGAACTCTCAAACTGCTATCAAATAATTAGCGAAGAGAATCAATGTCGACGGTGAAATGCTCTCCCACCTACGATTTGCGCACATAATTAACTGAACAGATGACTTAAAAGATATTAAAACAATTGTTACTGAGTTAGATGATTCCTGTAAGGAATTTAATTTGAAAATAACTTTTGGAAAGGCACAATACATGACAAATCTGGTACCAAGCGAAAATAAAAAAGTCAGTTGCTCCAAATTGCCAGGGAGAAATAAACCACTAAACTGCAAAGAAAAATCACTTCAACATGGGCCGCATATCGGAGCTCTATCAGACATCTTCAAGAGCAACATGCCAAATTATTTCAAAAAGAAGAAGTTCGACCAATGTGTACTTCCAGTCATGAGCTACGGCGCCGAAACGCTTTTCTTAACCCAAACCACAGCAACCAAACTCAGAGTGACTCAAAGAAGAATGGAACCGTCGTTACTTGGACTGACTCTCAGAGACAGGATCAGAAACGAGAAAATAATAAGGCCACCCGTCATAGAGCTCATATCATGTGTGACGTCCTCTCGTAGGAGTCACTATCCGGGTAGCTTTTGGACAGTCAGAGACAGAGTTCAAAATACAAATAAAACTTTATTGTCTTCCTTAAATTAAATTGACAAAAATCTTATGTACATATTTACAATTTAGTTTAGTCTTCTCAGTACCTGGCTTATTTATTCAAATTAAGTTTGACCTTGTCGTATGAAGTTAGTCTTATCGGCAAGCGAGTGTGTTTTTGAAATTTTACGTGAACGTTGTAATAACAGCGGACGATAGGTACAAAGAAAAGAAAGGAACTCAACACGTCCCTTAAGTGATTCGGGTTAATAGGACACTCCTCGACAGTCTCAACACGACTGCTTCGGAGTACGGGTAATGGAGAGCTCAACACGCTCTCCGGGTAACGGCGGTATGGAACAACTTGTGAACTCAACACGTCCACAAGCCGGGGTAGGGAAGAAGAGATCCTTCAGTCAACACCTGTCGATTCTCCTACTTCATGGGTTGGTTCGCGCGCA